AAAATATCTCCCAGAAAGTGGAGTGAAGAAAAAGCTGGCGAGATAGAAAGGAAGAGAAAATATAAAATTCAAGGACCAGTCAGGGAGGCACAATATCCAAATAAAAGGAGTTTTAGAGAGAAAAAATAAAGGAGAGGGAATCATCAAAAAATATTTCAGGAACATTTGCCAGGACTGATGAATATGAGTTGCCAGTTGGAAGGGTCCACCAAACACAGTGGATACAAATAGACCCACACCAAGGCACAGTATTGTAAAATTTCAGAGCATCAGGGACACAGAGACCCAAGCTTCCAGAGAAGAGTTAAAAAAGTTTTATACAGAGGAAGAAGAAACCAAATGGCAATAAACATTATCAGCAACACTGGGTATTGTAAAACAGTGGAGCAAGATCTTCAAAATTCTGAAGGAATATTATTTCCAACCTGGAATTTTATACCAAGCCAAACAATTAGTATGAAGGCAGAATAAAGACATTTTAGACCATATATACTTTCTCAAGAAGCACCCGAAGGCTGTAATCCACCTAAAAAGAAAGTAAAAATGAAAGAAAAAGATAGATCCAGGAAGCCCAGGATCTAGTCCAAAAGAGAAGCAAAGGAAATTCCAGGATGCCAGTGAAGAAGACCCAGGACCACACCTGGGCACCAGGCATCAAGAGCAGCCCCTTTAGATTAGAGCCTTGAAAAGCTCTGGAGCGATTTCTTCAGAAGTTGAGGAAGTACCTAATGTTTTCAAATTTATTGAAAGGACATATATACAAGTGGGAGAGACTTTGGTGTCAAATTTCTGATAAGTCCATAGAAACTAAGGAAATGATTAAAATGACAATAATTAACTCCAGAGAACACAAAATTTTGTGTGGAAAGGAAAAGCAATTATAGTGTGCGTTATAGTATGACTACCTAAACACTCTGTTAATATCACTACATAGCCATGATAACATAAACACAGAATGAAGATCTAACTGCAAATGTCACGCTATCAGGAAGATGAGGGAATGGGAATGGGAAATGCGTGTGGTGTGAGTGTTCGCTAGTGTGTGGAATGTGGAGGGGGTGTGGGGTGTGGAGGGGCTGTGGGGTGAAGGAGGAGAAACCCATATTTTTCTTAGTGGGAAGCCAATAGACAGTGCCTGAAACTGAAAGATCCATAGGCAGCAATGGAACAGAGCATGTTATTGAATGATATGAAGGTAATTCTTAAAAGAGCCTGCTACTTTGGGAAGCTAAGGCGGGCAGATCACTTGAGGCCAGTAGTTTGAGACCAGCCTGGCCAATGTGGCAAAACCACAACTCTACTAAAGATACAAAAAAAAAAAAATTTAGCCAGGCATGGTGGCACATGCCTGTGGTCCCAGCTCCTCAGCAAGCAGAGGCACAAGAATTGCTTTCACGCGGGAGACAGCAGTTGCAGTGAGCTGGGATCGCACCACTGCACTCCAGCCTGGGCGGCAAAGCAAGACTCTGTCTCAAAATAAATAAGTAAATAAGTAGGCTGCTAGAACAGTTGAAAGTTGTTGTTCTGGGGAGTGGTGGAAAGGTATGGGGGGAGTTTTGTTTTCAAAATAAAACTTCTCAAATTATTTGATTCTTTAAGCCAGTGGTTCTCAACTGGGAGCAGTGTGGCCCCCCCAGGACATATCTGACAACGTCTGGAGATGTTTTGGTTGTCAGTGAAGAGGGGATGTGCTGCTGGCATCTAGTGGGCAGAGGCCAGGGATGCTGCTAAACATCCCACAGTGCACAGGACAGCCCACAACAAAGAACCATTCCGCTCAGAAGGCTGAAGGCCAGGCATGGTGGCTTACACCTGTAATCCCAATGCTTCGGGAGGCCAAGGCAGGAGGATCACTTGAGCTTAGAAGTTCAAGACTAGCCTAGGCAATATAGTGACACCCCATCTTTACAAAAAAATTTAAAAGAATTAGCCAGGCAAAGTGGCACATACCTGTAGCCTCAGCTACTTGGGAGGTTAAAGCAGGAGAATCGCTTGAACCTGGGAGGTTGAGGCTGCAGTGAGCCATGATCACGCCACTGCACTCCAGCCTGGGTGACAGGGTGCAACCTTGTCCGAAATAATAATGATAATAATAAAGACTGAGAACCTTTGCTTTAAAGTATGTGCATGCGTGGTTTTAGAAAGATGCAAATGAGGAAGAGTGGGTGGGGAGACTACAGCAGTGTGTGGCTGGGCCTTTGTAAAGGTAGGCAGGGACTGCAGAAGCAGAGGGGCTCCTAACCCTGCTTTGGGGTGGTGGGGGGCTGTCCTGGAGGTAACAATGAAGGTGAGTTTTGAAGGACAGTAAGAAATGAACTGAATATGCTGGGCGTGGTGGCTCACGCCTGTAATCCCAGCACTTTGAGAGGCCTAGGTGGGTAGAGTTTGAGACCAGCCTGGCCAACATGGCAAAACACTGTCCATACTAAAAAAACAAAATACAAAAATTAGCTGGGCATGGTGGTGCGTGCCTGTAATCCCAGCTATTCAGGAGGCTGAGGCAAGAGAATTGCTTGAACCCAGGAGGTGGAGGTTGCAGTGGGCTGAGATAGCACCATTGGACTCCAGCCTTGGGAGACGCAGTGAAACTCCATCTCAAAAAAAAAAAAAAGAAAGAAAGAAAGAAAGAAAAAAGAAAAGAAATGAGGTGAATGTGGGGCTAGGTGATTGAAAAGGTGACTGTTTTCTAAATCAAATTATATTTAAGTTAGCAGTGTTAGAATATGTACTTCAGCTCTAGACTTGGCATCTCTCTAACTAAAGCACTACTGGATACAATGTCAAATTTTACGTGGCAAATAGACTGTGAACTACACAAAGCAATTAACAGATATGACAGCCATAAAACGTTTTTTTAATTGTGCTTCTAATTTGACACTGAGCTCCCCAGCAGCCAGTTCAAAAGGAGCAATTCCACCAATTATATGGTTCCTGTTATGAGGAAGAAGGAAGTTTAGCAGGCCTTTTTGGGAAACAGAGCTTTCCCAGCTAAAATTGAATTCATTCGCTGGCACTGCTGGATGATATTGTCAACACCCTTGACTTGCAAAGATAGCACCACTTTCCACAGGCACCTTCCTAATCTGATTTTTTTTTTAATATATATAAAAGAAGAATGAATGAAATTCAAAAGCAACTCAGTAAAAGTTGATCCCCAGGCAGCTGTAGTGTAGCACAGGGATAACATTAAAAAGTGAAATGACTTTTTTATAAAGTAATCTGGTAATCTATTCTAAAGAGTTGAAAGAGTATCCCTTTTATTTATTTATTTATTTATTTTTTTAAAGACAGTCTTGCTCTGTTGCCCAGGCTGGAATAAAGAGGCATGATTTTGGCTCACTGCAACCTCCACCTCTCAGGTTCAGGCAATTCTGTGCCTCAGCCTCCCGAGTAACTGGGATTACAGGAGCATGCCACCATGCCTGGCTAATTTTTGTATTTTTAGTAGAGACGAGGTTTCACCATGTTGGCCAGGCTGGTCTGAAACTTTTGACCTCAAGTGATCCACCTGCCTCAGCTTCCCAAAGTGCTGGGATTACAGGTGTGAGATACCACGTCTGGCGCTATTCATTTATTTCTAATGGCAAAATTATAGAAATCACCGATAATCAGACAGTTTTTCCAAATGATACAAGAAATAGGTAAATATGTTCTTGTTAGAAATTTAAATATTACAGGCAAAGCTACAATCCTCTCCACTCCCAAGCTCTTCCCCTCGGGTAACCACAGTCACGGATTTGTCATATTTCTCTCCAGATCTTTTTTCTTTACCTGCATATGTAAGTCTGTACATATAAATAGCTATTTTGTTTCATAGAGAGATTTTACCATCTGCATTGTATCGTACTCTACCTATTATCTACAACTTGCTGCTTTGCACAATATTACATTTAGGTTTCCAAATCTCCCTCTTTTTCTGAGACAGTCTTGCTCTGTCATCCAGGCTGGAGTTCAGTGGCACGATTTTGGCTCACTGCAACCTTCACCTCCTGGATTCAAGCAACTCTCCTGCCTCAACCTCCCAGGTATTGGGAGGTTGAGGCAGAAGAATTGTGCCTGGGATTACAGGCACATACAACCATGCCCAACTAATTTTGTATTTGTATTAGAGACAGGGTTTTACCGTGTTGGTCTCGAACTCCTACCTCGAATGAGCTGCCTGCCTCGGCCTCACAAAGTGCTGAGATTACAGGCATGAGCCACTTTGGCTGGCCCTCCTTATTATTTTTAACAGCTGCATAATATTCCATTCATAAATGTCCCCATAGTTTATTCTAGTATAAGGTGGTCTCTAGTTTTCCACAATCACAGTGCTGCAGTGAAATGTGGGCACACATGGCCATGTCACACTGTTTGGTTCCCAGAAGGGACAAGATTTTATACTTTTATTAATTCCCATGTTCCTGTAATAAGCTATTCCAGGCTCCCTCCATCGGCCCCATCCAGCTGTGTCAGAGAGGTCCTGTTTCCTGTAGCTTCCCCAGCTTTCAATATGGCCAAATATCTATATTTCCGCCCCCTACCCCTCCAATCTGAAGAGTGTGATACAGTAATACTTTGTTTTAACTTGCTTTTTCTGATTAAAAGGGACATTAAGAACTTTCTGTAGCTTGAATATTTGATCATTTATATCTCCTTTTCTGTGAGCTGCTCCATCACTCTGTATTGCAAACATTTCTCCCAGTGTGTCCCTTGTCCTTTAATTTATTTATAGTACCTATCGTCAGATGTTTTAATCTTTTTTTGCTTTTATAATTTGTGTTTATTCCACATTATAATTATTTTCTCTCTGTTGTTATGGCAATGAAATCCATTATTTCTTCTTAACTTTCTTTTATAGCTATTGTATTGTTGCCTTAATGATATGTTTTCCCAACATGATCTATCCATGATGTGATATGCCATTTTCTTCCTCAGGAGAGGTTTTCTACTAATTTTTGCCATTTCCTGTGGTCGCTGCTGATCCATGCTTCATGCCTGTTTTCTGTTTGTGGCTTCAGATAAAATCTACGTGGTTGACTTGAGTAACGAGCGAGCTATGTCACTCACCATTGAGCCACGGCCTGTCAAACAGAGCCGCAAGTTCGTCCCTGGCTGTTTCGTGTGTCTGGAATCTCGGACCTGCAGTACCAACCTCACCCTGACATCTGGCTCCAAACACAAGATCTCCTTCCTTTGTGATGATCTCACACGTCTGTGGATGAATGTGGAAAAAACCATAAGTACGCCCCTGAATTAGTACATTCTTCCCGGGCTATGGATGGCTCTTCTCTCCCTGCCTTGCCTTAGTGGGGTTCCCTAGGTAGGTTGTAAATCATAGGACCCAAAATGCCCACCCACAGCCCGGGTGAGCAAAGGTGACCAAGAGGCAAATGGAGCGCATGTTGACACATCCCTGTGGGACCAGCCTCAGGTGGAGCCTGCAGCCCTCAGAAGTGCGTCATACTGCTCCATGTCCAGCCTTATGTCTCTCTGCCCAGGCTTCCAATCTTCCTCTTGTGAAACCCTCCCCTCCTTTGCTCAGCCTTCCCCAGCCTCTCCCATCCCTATTCCCTGCAGCTTCCGCACTCACTGCCCTCTTGTCTTCTCTCGCACAAGACTAGGATTCCTGAAATCAATAACTTTGGCTTGTTCCATTTTTCTTCCAGTTAGCCCCTACCAGTGCTGGACATGTGCTATCACTTAAAAGCTGTTTGATAGGCTGGGTGCAGCGGCTAACACCTGTAATCCCGGCACTTTGGGAGGCCGAGGTGGGCAGATCACGAGGTCAAGAGATTGAGACCATCCTGGTCAACGTGGTGAAACCCCATTTCTACTAAAAATACAAAAAACAAAAAACAAAAAAAACTAGCCAGGCATGGTGGCACGTGCCTGTAGTCCCAGCTACTTAGGAGGCTGAGGCAGGAGAATCTCTTGAACCTGCAAGATGGAAGTTGCAGTGAGCCAAGATCGCACCACTGCCACTGCACTCCAGCCTGGTGACCCAGTGAGACTCCATCTCAAAAAAAAAAAAAAAAAAAAAACCTGTGATGACTGAAGGCCAGTAAACCAACAGCCACCTCCCTGCTGGGCTACCCTGACCTCTGACGTGTGCTCTTAAAGTCTCTACAAATGCAGGAGCTAAGGTCACAAGAGGCAAAGTAGCCTGCCCAAGATCACCCTGTTAGGAAGTGGCAGAACTGAGATCCCCCCAACACCACTCACAGCTCCAGCCACTGCCCAGAACTGACATGGGTCCACACGTCTGGGTGGAGTGAAACCTGTGCCCCCATGTCACTTAGCATCTAAGACACAGATACACAGAAGAAATAACTTGAGCAAAAAGGGAAAGGAAATTTCAACCCAGAATACTCCCCAGAAGTTTGTCTGCCAGTTTAGCAGACAGTAAGAATGTGAGAGAACGCTAGAAAAGGTACACGGAGGAGCCAGAAGTGGAGGGCAAGGTGGGAGAAGAGAGACGGAAGGGAAAAGCCGGGCAGCAGATGCCCAGCCTCAGGCTGTCGGGAGAGGTGGGGAGGGGGCCCTTCTGGTCTCGTGTGTGCGCGGCTACCATGCCCTGCTTCTTCCAGGCTGCACAGACCACCGATATTGCCAGAGGAAGTCCTACCCGCTCCAGGTGCCCGGTGACATCCTCCAGCTGCCCGTGGACCTGCACGACTTCTCCTGGAAGCTGCTGGTGCCCAAGGACAAGCTCAGCCTGGTGCTGATGCCAGCCCAGAAGCTGCAGCAGCATACTCATGAGAAGCCCTGCAACACCAGCTTCAGCTACCTCGTGGCCAGTGCCATACCCGGCCAGGACCTGTATTTCGGCTCCTTCTGCCCGGGAGGCTCTATCGAACAGATCCAAGTGAAGCAGAACGTCTCGGTGACCCTTCGCACCTTTGCCCCCAGCTTCCGGCAAGAGGCCTCCAGGCAGGGCCTGGTGGTGTCCTTTATACCTTATTTCAAAGGTAAGGGGGGTCTCCCCCATGTCCATGCCCCCTTAGTTTGGGCGTTCATTTTATTTTAGTTTTGTGATCATCTTAATTAAGTTGCCGGTTTGGAGAGAAGGGATAGCTCAGTATGCAGGTCCTTGCCCAAGAAATCTGAAAGATAGTGAGTCCTAATCCTCACTTTACCATTAACCTAGCATGGAAAATTCCCGAGATTAGAAATAAGAAAAATGTTTCTGACAGTGGGAGGCAATGGTTGGTAGGCAGCAAAACACATAATCAGGTTTGAGTCTTTTTTGGAAGCAGGCAGGGCATAAATGAGAAATCGCCAAATATTCCTCAGTCCTGGATTTTTAAGGTAGTGACATGAAAATCCTTAGGCAGACATTTTTATGGCTCTGCTTTTGCAATTCAGAATGCAGTACAGAGGGCACAAAGGGAGGAGGGTTGGGAGAGAGATGAGTCTCTGGAGCCAGAGTCCTGTTCCACAGCAGTACGGCTCGGCAGACCCAACCCTCCCGGGAGGCTGCACATGCTCTCCATGTTCCCAGGCAGTAAATGAGTCCTAAATGGCTCACAATGTGACTTCTACATGGTTGATTTTAAAAGTCACAGTCACCATTAGAAGTTGCTCCAAGAACAGCTACATTAAGTTGGAGGCCACTTTAAAATGGACCAAGACCTTTGTTTGGTGTTTATTTTATACTCTTATTCTCAGAAGTGTGAGTGGGAGGGAGAATCTTTGGTCATAAGATTAAGGTCGGTCCAGGCTGCCTGATATCTCCAAGGTTACCAGAGAAACTGCTTCTGAGGAGTCTTGCAAATAAGACACATTCTCATCAGTGTGGAATGTGTGGGATTTATCTCTCCTGAAGGTCAGGAAGGGATTAGTTGACATGTCAGGAGCTCTTTCAGCTTTGCAGTTCCTGAAATCTTCCCAGAACCTGAAGATATTTTAATGTCTCAAACAGAAATCAGTATATACCAGTCCCACCCTGGAGCAGGGCAGTAGATGAAGGTAGTAGCTATGTTAAGAGCATTTCTGAGGGGAAGCTGAGATAACCACCGGTTTCCCCTCAGAAATGCTCTGGGTTTTGTTTGCCTGTTTTTTTCAAAAGTCCTGAGTACCTCCTCTGACTGAGACTGCTCCTGCACTGACCGATACAGTGGTGCTAGCCACATGTAACTATTTGAATTTAAATGAATACGAGGCCAGGCACAGTGGCTCATGCTTGTAATCCCAGCACTTTGGAAGGCCAAGGCGGGCAGATCACTTGAGCTCAGGAGTTCAAGACCAGCCTGGCCAACATGGTGAAACCCCGTCTCTACTAAAAATACAAAAATTATCCAGGTGTGGTGGTGCATGCCTGTAGTCCCAGCTACTCAGGAGGCTAAGGCAGGAGAATTGCTTGAACCTGAGAGGTAGAGGTTGCAGTGAGCCAAGATTGTGCCACTGCACTCCAGCCTGGGCAACAGAGTGAGACTCTGTCTCAAAAATAATTAATAATAATAACCAATTAATATGAAACAAATTTAAAATGCAGTTCTTTGGTCATGCTGGGCACATTTCAAGGCTCAGCAGACATGTGTAGCCGGTGGCTATCCTCGGCAGACCGTGCAGATCTAGAACATTTCCATCATCACAGAAAGTTCTGGACAGTTCCACCTCGCGTCCTCCGCTGCTCCCTTTCCCCTCCATGTTGACCGATTGAAAGAACGTCTGTCTGGATCTCCCTCCCTTTCCTACAGAGGAAGGCGTTTTCACAGTGACCCCCGACACAAAAAGCAAGGTCTACCTGAGGACCCCCAACTGGGACCGGGGACTGCCATCCCTCACCTCGGTGTCCTGGAACATCAGCGTGCCCAGAGACCAGGTAGCCTGCCTGACTTTCTTCAAGGAGCGGACCGGTGTGGTCTGCCAGACAGGGCGCGCCTTCATGATCATCCAGGAGCAACGTACCCGGGCCGAGGAGATCTTCAGCCTGGACGAGGATGTGCTTCCCAAGCCAAGGTTCCACCATCACAGCTTCTGGGTCAACATCTCTAACTGCAGCCCCGCGAGTGGCAAGCAGCTAGACCTGCTCTTCTGGGTGACTCTTACCCCAAAGACTGTGGGTAAGGTCCTTCAGGGTCTTCGGGGACGGTGATAAACAGAAAATTGTCAGCTGAAGGATAGGGAGCAAGCCTGGAGACAAGCCAGAAACACAGATTGAGTCCTGACTATCCATGTATCAGTCAGCTATTGCATCAATAGTGCTGCATAACAAACCACCCCAAAACATAGCAGCTTCTTAGAAGCAGCCTCTATTATTGCTCCAACATTGGCTGGGCAATTCTGGTCTGAGCCGGACTTATCTGGGCTCCCTCATTTATGCACCTGCAGGCAGCTGCAGGTTGGCTAGAAGACTTTGCCCATCTTAGCGTGGTGCTTTCACAAAGCTGAGGCTCAGCCAAGATTATCTGAGACAACTGACATGACTTGGCTTGACTCTATGTGGTCTCTTATCCTCCAGCCTGGGCTGCTTTCATGGCAGAGGCAGAAAGATCCACAAGAGCCTGGAGGAGGCATATAGGGTCTCTTGATATTTTTAGGTTAGGAACTCACACACCATCCCTTCAGTGGCATTCTTTTGGCCAGCCTAGGTTTTTTTAGTCAATCTACCAGCATCTTTTACCATTCACCTCTCTTTTACATAGGGGAAGTCTCTTCATACCTATGATCTTCCTCTTCTACAGAGAGTAGATAATAATAGCTACCTCATAAAAGTATCATGGGATTCAGTGTCAGGAATTAAAATACGGGCACTTGAAAAGTCTGACAGGTACATGGTTTTTTATTTAGTCTCAGCGAAACACTGGAATCCATGAAATACCCTCAGTGGGAGACCTTGGAGCCAGGACGATGAGTTTGCCTTTATTCCTCAAAGTCATGGGTACCACTGAAGCAAGGGAGCGTGGGTGTGGCAGGGCAGGCCGTGGTGGGGCCATGTCGCCCTTCACTCAGCAAAGGTCATAGAGCATCACCGTGTCAGAAGCAAAAGGGACCATGGAGGCTGCTTCTTTCCCTTCCCCTTTCTGGGGGTCAGAATGATTGAGGGTCCACCCAAGCTATACAACTGATTAGCCACAAGAGAACCGGTGGGAGCCAAAACCACAAGTGGGAACCTCTCCACACTCACACGTTACCTCCTGGGTTTTCTTCCTCTCTTAGATTCACTTTCTTTTCTTTCCATTCCTCTTTCTTTTGGAGCTCACTGTTTGTTTTCTTTGTGAACAAGTAAGACATTCCAAATCCCTGTTTGGTACAGGGTCCCCCTCTGATTTATTCTCCTCTTCCTCTGTGCAGCTGCAGGAAAGGACGGCACAAACGAAACAACCCTCTCCTTAGCTGCCTCACTTCCGACTTCTGACTTCCTGCTCTTTCCTCCCTCTGCTCTTCTCTCCGAGACAGACTGGCAATCGGTGGAACATACCTGGTTTAGGCCAGGCGTAGCCTTTGGAGTCGATCCACTAGGTCCCTCAGTTTGTTTCAGTTGTTCATTGCTACATGCAAACTACTCCAAAATTTGGTGGCTTAAACAATAACCATTTTGTTGACCCACAATCTATGGATCAGAAATTCAGACAGGGCACAGAAATGTGGCTCGTCTGCACTCCAAGATATCTGAGTCCCAGCCAGAAGCTTTGACATATAGAGAGGATGAGTTGGAGAATTCAGCTGGAGACATATGTCTGGGGCCTCGGTTCTCACCTTTGGCTGGGTGGATTTTTTTCCCCTGTGGAGTCTCTACGTGGCTAGCTTGGGCTTCCTCACAGCATGGTGATCTCAGCATAGTCAGACTTCTTACATAGCAGCTGGCTTTCCCTCAGAGAGAAAGTGCAAGCTGACATCCTCTAAAAAGTTAGGCCCAGAACAGGCACAGTTGCCTTATATTGGCTGACCCAGATCCATGAGGAAAGGAAATAAACACCTTGTGCTAGGAGGAGCCCCATGTGCACACAAGGAGCCCCATGTATGGTGCTCCGCCTTTGGAAAGATGGCAGCCACCTTTGGAGATGCCTCAAGTTCAACACAGAGCTAACCCCAGCTGCCTCCTCATCTGTCTCTTTTATGTCTGCTCACAGACTTGACTGTCATCCTCATAGCCGTGGTGGGAGGTGGAGCCTTACTGCTGTTTGCCCTCGGACTCATCATTTGCTGTGTGAAAAAGAAGTAGGTGGAATCTCTTACGGTCTTTATCTGATCTGATGCCTCCTCAGATCACACAGACTGGGTGGATTGTTAATTATTGACTTCGTTTTCTTGCTTCCCATTTTTTCTGCCAAAGATCAATGTTAAACAATATTGCTGGATGTGAGTCATGCTTTCAGGAAAAAAAAAATCCCGTGCCTGCTGAGGTTGGGGGGCGGCAAAAAACGCATGTGACATTTTCACCTGTAGTTCCTGGTGCAGCTGCCTTAGCACAAGTCCTCTGTAAGAGACTTGCCGTTTGTTCAATAGATTGATCAAGCAGGGGTGATCTTGGCAAGAAAATGCTCACATAGGCTCTCCCAGACCACGCCTCTGAAACCACTCCCTCTGCCACCTTAAGGAGAACAAATGTGTGTTGTCCCGGCTTGTTCTACAGTTTCTTAAACAAACTGTTTTATGCTTGTTTATTGGGCTCCAGATAAATAACAGAGGCCGGGCCTATGGCCAAGAGGAAGGAAGACCCAGTTAACCGCCTCAGTCTCTCTTTCCATGCCCTTGGGAGGACAACTTCTGTTTTGTTTATTTACTTATTTTTTGAGACAGAGTCTTGCTCTGTTGCCAGTGGCACGTTCTCGGCTCACTGCAGCCTCCGCCTCCTGGGTTCGAGTGATTCTCCTTCCTCAGCCTCCTGAGTAGCTGGGACTACAGGTGCATACCACCACGCCCAGCTAATTTTTTTCTTTTTTCTTTTTCTTTTTCTTTTTCTTTTTGCAGAGATGGGGTTTCACCTTGTTGGCTAGGTTGTGCTTGAAATCCTGAAGCGTTGAGATTACAGGCATGAACCACCGCACCTGGCTGAGCTTCTGTTTTATAAGAGGAACGTTGACCTTTGACAGAGTCCATGCAGCCACCAAACTGTTTAAATTCTGCTCCTATTTCTGATTAAAGCCATGGGAGAGAGGAGAGAGCTATTTTCCTTAGCATGATTTGACCTTCCAAAAAGCCAACCTCAAAAAATTCTTTTTTAAAAATTAACTGTGAACCAGAGAAAACAACTGAACTTCCTGGTCTACAACAAGACTGTCTCCACATGTCTCTGCTGATGAGGAAGGACTGGCTCGCTGGAGGTCTTTTCTCCATGAGAGGCAGCTGTAACTATATCGCATCGGGGAAAAGGACTTCTTTTAAGGAAACACCATGCTACTGTTTCTCTCAGGGAATGTTCCCATCTGGGGTGCGTGGCATATCCCACCCCACTGGGGAAGCGTGGCATTAACACGGGGTGCCAGCTTCCTTATCAGGAGGGAATTGGACGAGGAAAGAGACCCAGCACTGGCCTCATCTCAAAGCAGCTCCAGTTTAGGCCTGAGAATCATCAGCCCAGCCTTGCTGCAGGTCTTGCTTGTGTGAGGCCACTGGCTGGCGGGTTTGCATAAGGCCCGTTCATGCTCAGGCTGGTGTAGGAGGACAGACAGGTTGTGCAGTGAGAAGGAGGAGACAATGCCATCCACCTTGTTCACTAAGCGGCTATTTCCTGAGTGTCGCCCGGGCACTAGGACTCTTTGAGGTACTGGGGATGGTGACGAGCAAGACAATCACTTCTATGGGGGCGAAGGGCCTGAAGAGATTGTCTTCAGGCAAATAAACAGTCAGTTTCAGGACAGCATGACAAGAGTTTTAGTGGAGACAAACGTTACCAGGCTTCAGGCGGGAACCTTAGGACCCCATCGTCCTGGCCAGAGGCTCAGTGTTACAGGCTAAAGGTACCAGATTTATTTTTATCTCGGCAAAGTACAGAGAGCCTGTCCACAATTATGAACTGCCGGCCTGTGCCTTCTATGGTCCATTACGCTAATTGAGCTAATGTCCTCCATTTGCATCGCTGGTCAGCTAAACAGTCAGCATTCCCTGCTGTTTAGTTCCTGGAGATGGAGAGCAAAGCTGTTTTCCATGGCAGCAAGCGCTAATGCCCATCCACGTCCAAGTACTAAGGAACATTAAAAACCAGACGCTAATGATGTTGCTGAAGAACTCTGGCACTGCAGCCTGAATTTCGTCTTCGTTTTAGCTCTTTCCTCTATTGGAGGTGACTACTGAGGCACTGGGTCTTTGCTAATGCTGAGTTCTCTCCTGAGATCTCATACTGAAAACTAAGATGCAACCTGGCCTCCCGAGTCTCGTATATTACCATTTAGAATCTAGATGGTCAGAGCTTTTCCCATGCAAAAGAGAGAGAAAGCACGAGCTTCGGCAAAGTAGTAAGAGAGCTAGGAGGTTGACCCGGGCACGCCTGAGCCTGATGTGGGTTAGAAGGGCTGGGACGCTGCCTGTTTCTGGCAAAATGAGAGTAAGTGGATTGTCAGGTGTCTCTGCCATTGGATACCACATCTATCAAAAGCGAGTGAGCACAGATAGTGTTAGAGGTGCTCTGTCTAAACCACTCTTTTACCACCTATGATCTGTTTCTACTTTGAAACCTGGAGACAAAATCTGGTCCCTTCTAAATGTTCACTGAGGACAGTAGTTTCTGTTTCAAATGCTGAGCAATTTGAGGGATTTGGGGGAGGCATGGTCAGAGCCCTGAAGAATCCAAGCTCTAGCAGGGCCATAGCAACGGTAGCCATCTGAGAGTCTTTCATTTCTGACTTCTGTCTTGTTCCCTTTTTCCAAATAGGAAAAAGAAGATGAACAAGGGCCCTGCCGTGGGTGTCTACAATGGCAACATCAATACCGAGATGCCAAGGCAGCCAAAAAAGTTTCCAAAAGGACGAAAGGACAATGACTCCCACGTGTATGCGGTCATCGAAGACACCATGGTGTACGGGCATCTACTGCAGGATTCTGGCGGGTCCTTCCTCCAGCCAGAGGTGGACACCTACCGGCCGTTCCAGGGCGCCGTGGGGGTCCGCCCTCCCTCTCCGCCCACCATATGCTCCAGGGCTCCAACTGCAAAGTTGACCACTGAGGAGCTGCCTCCTTGCTCCCCTCCTGAGTCCGAGAGTGAACCATACACCTTCTCCCACCCCAACAATGGGGATGTAAGTAGCAAGGACACAGACATTCCTTTGCTGAACACTCAGGAGCCTGTAGGGCCAGCAGAATAACTTCATACATTCTGGAGACTTTGCTGAGTTTCATAAAGCAGTGCACCGAGACACTCGTCGGTGTCTCTAACCAGAAATCCTGCAGAAGAGGAATTACAGAAGGAACAGCAGGGGTTTTCCTGGACACCACCAACTTCACATTGCTCAAACTTCACATTGCTCAGTGGACTCAGTCTAAGGGCGAGACATTGAAAATGATGCATTCTGATATGGATACAGTCATGACAGCTCATGTCCTTCTCAGCTCAGCCTGTGTGGCTAGCCAGCCTGTAATGAGAGGAGAGAGGCCTGAGTCACCTAGGACAGGGTCACAGCAAGCCCTGGATTCAGAGTGTTAAACAGAGGCTTGCCCTCTTCAAGACAACAGTTCCAATTCCGAGGAGCCTACCTGAGGCCCCTACTCTCACTGGGGTCCCCGGGATGAAAACGACAATGTGCCTTTTTATTATTATTTATTTGGTGGTCCTGTGCATTTAAGAGATCAAATGTATAACCACCTAGCTCTTTTCACCTGACTTAGTAACAGCTCATGCTAACTGGTTTGGATGCCTGGAATGTGACTTCTGCCAACCACTAGATAAACGCGTGCCTGTTCCCGGGAGGTGGGAATAATTTACAACCTCTCCAGCCAGAAAAGGGTGTATGTGTTTGAGCAGCGTTGACGCATATCTGCTTTGATAACAGACTTCCTGATTCTCTAGGTTGGCTTGTGGTATCCCACTGTGGAAATTCATCTTGAATCCCATTGTCCTGCAGTCCTAGCAATGAGAGAAATTTCCTCAAGTTTCCATGTGTGGTTCTCCCAGCTGCAGCAATACTTTACCATTTAAAGAGAAATTTAGGGAATATTCTCATCCTCTAAAAATGTTTAAATATATACCAGACAGGGGCGCCCTGCATTAGTTTTCTGTGGCCACTGAAGCCCATTACTTGGTAGCGTAAAAACAACACACTATCTTACAGTCTTGGGGATGAGAATTCCAAAATGGATGTCCCTGAATGAAAATCAAGAAGCAGAACCGTGCTGCTTCTGAAGGCTCCAGGGAGAAGCCAGTTCCTTGCCGTGTCCAGCTTCTCGAGGCTGGCTGCATTTTTAGACTCCAGTGGCTGGTCAGGTTTTTTTCACATGGCGTCACTGTGACACTGACTCTTCCACTTCCCTCTTTCATTTACAAAGCCCACCAGGAAGATCCAGGATCATCTCCCCATCTCTAGATCCTTCATCACACTGGAAGAGCCTTTTACCATGCAAGACAACATAGCCACAGGTGGAGATTAGGACAGGGACATCTTTGGGGTGCCTTTATTCTGCCTACAACACCTTCCTGCCTCTGACTCCCACAGGAGAGGCTACAAAATGATCCGGCCCACAGGGATGTTTGGTTTGGCTTGCAGACTCTTGGTTTAAGAATTAGTTACGAACATTTAAAATTATAAAAAACTTTTTTCTTTCTTTTTTTTTTTTTTTTTTTTTGAGACAGAATTTTGCTCTGTTGCCCAGGCTGAAGTATAGTGACGTAATTTCGGCTCACTGCAACTTCAGCCTCCCAGGTTCAAGCAATTCTCCTGCCTCAGCCTCCCAAGTAGCGGGGATTACAGGCACCCGCTACCATGCCAAGCTAATTTTTGTGTTTTTAGTAGAGACGGGGTTTCACCATGTTGGCCAGACTGGTCTCAAACTTCTGATTCCAAGTGATCCTCCTGCCTCTGCCTCCCAAAGTGCTACAGGCATGGGCCACCATGCCCGGCCCAAAATTTTTTCGTAACAATCCAGATCAGAAGATCTGGCCATGCTGGGACTCACATTCTCACCTAGCAACAACTGGCTGGAGCTGGGCAGCAGCTATGCCTTTAGATGGGGTATCCACTTCACTAGGTCACTGCAGTCCACACTACTCCCTATTGCCTCCCACAATGAGGCTAAGTGATTATTTCTACCAATCAATGCCCCAGCAAGTTGCATTTCTTGTAATGAAAAGGAAAGATTGGGATTAATCTCTAATCAGGTGAATAGACCATGAGACCAATACATCCTCACATTCCTCTTTTTTTTTTTTTTAAATCTGAGACAGAGTCTCACTCTGCTGCCCAGGCTAGAGTGCAGTGGTGCAATCTCGGCTCACTAAAGCCTCTGCCTCCTGGGCTCAAGCAGTTCTCCCACCTCAGCCTCTCAAGTAGCTGGGACCACAGGCGTTTGCCACCATGCCCACCTAATTTTGTCTTTATTCTAGAGACAGGATTTCACCATATTGCCCAGGCTGATCTCAAACTCCTGGACTCAAGCAATCCTCCTGCCTCAGCCTCCTAAAGTGCTGGGATTACAAGCGTGAGCCACCGCATCCAGCCCCACACCCTCATTTACACCAATTACCTGCCCAGCGCCTGTGGACGTCTGCTTTGTGGTCCCTGCTCTAATCTGCGAGGAGAGGGATGTGCTATAGCTTGTCGGCACAGTCCCAAGTTCAATATTTCTGTGGCAAAAACTTCCTTCAAAAAACAAATACTTTATTGCATTCAATGAATTCACCTTGGAAACGTACCACCTCAACTTGTTCATGTGACCTGAATGAAAGGAATTGTAAAATCTCCTAAATGGTGTGTACTCCAAGGCCTCCTGAACACTTTCCAGAGGACAGGATATTTAATGATGCCCTTGGCATTGCCTGTGGCACCTTTCTCTTCTGAAAGTCTGGTTCCTGCCCAGTGCCCCACTTTGGCCTTGTGAGCCTCCACGAAGGGCAAAGGAGGGCTGGGGTTCCCTCCCTCACTGAAGAGCCCTTATCTGAAGTCACTGTGTGGAGCTCTGGCCCTCCATTCGTGACCTTCCCCAGCCTCCTGGCCCCTTCCAAGCGGGACTAGCCACATTCCACCCAAGGTGGGGTTGGCCATCTTCAGGCTGGCTCCTTGTCCCCATCACCAACATCACTGTTACATGCAAGAACTCCATGTGGCTATTTTCCTTCAGCTGAGGGCTCAAAAATCCTGACAAGTTGCTGGCTCTTGAGACCAGGATTTTCTGAAGCTGTGCCTCAGTGAAGGGGCCCAGCCTGAGGAACCATGGCTCTTTTCTTTAAAGCGCAGGCGCCACTAGTGTAAAATATTTCAGGGTCACTGGAAACAGCCAAGTGCCATTTGTTGAAGCCTAATGCAAACCAGCCATGCCTACGGGGAAGGCCAGCACGTGCAGGACTGCTCCCCAATGCTGTGGTCATTGCTCAGAAGGGAAAGGTCTCAAGGAAGAGTCACCTGGAACAAGCACACGCCCACCAGCCATAGCCTTGGTAAAGATTAGAGGACCGGTGTGTGCGGATCTGCGGGGCTTCAGTGGAAATCATTTATTCGTTGCAGATACTTTTTAGGTGGCATTTTATTCATTTCCTGTGCTTTTTTAAATAAACCGATGTGCCAGAAAACAAGTATCAAACTGTTTAAATGCTTCGGCTACTTGTCCCCTGGTTCAGTAGAGGCCCCCTGGTTCCCAGTCATTGACTGCGACAGGCTCAGCATGGGCGCGGCAGATGCTGTCTTCATTTGCGTGTGGCACAGAAAGCCGGGCTTTGAGATACAAGCTCTTCCCTCTTCATGTGATGCCACGCAGTCAGTATGTGAAGCAGATGTTTTTGCCCAGAAATAGAAATAATAGTCTTGGTGTCTCGCCACCACTCATTTTCAAGTCTCACCTTGGCACCACCTGTATGCCAGTGGAAGGAATGGAAGCTGTTGCCAACGGGTAGCCGAGAGGCCGGGGATCATTCTGTTCTGTTTTTGTTGGGGCAACATGGGCCCCCCCATGTGACCTTTCCCAATACCTAATTGCCGTAGAGGCCCAGGGCCACCCTAACACTGACCACAGTTGACCTGCAGGTCACCAGCCACTGGAACAAAAGTAAAGGGAGAGCGGTGAGAGAGGAAGGTTCCCACGGCCCCCACCATCTGCCAGGAACTTGGAGAGATCCAACCATGTTGGGTTGAATCCACTGGGAAAGCCAGATGCTGCTGTGTAATGAGCCACCCCAAAATTGAGTTAACAATCATTTGTTTTGCTCACAAATCTGTACTTAGAGCAGGGCTCAGCAGGGACTGCATATCCCTGCTCCATGTGGCCTCAGCTTGGGCAGCACAACTAAAACCCCCTTTCCAGAGGGCTCTGTGACACAGTTGGTTAACCAGCAGGTTAGTGCTGGCTATCGGCTGGGAGCTTTCACACCTGGTCACGTGGGCCACTGCACAGGGCATCTTCACAACGCAGTGGCTGGGTTCCAAGACTGAGTGCTCCAGATTCAAGAGGTCAGAACAGCCAGTCTCTCAGGGCTGGGCCTGGATACTGGCGTGACATTACTTCCATTTCATTCCTTTTTTTTTTTTTTTTTCTTTTTTGCCCTCTTGACCCAGCTTTTCCCAATTCTGGGAAGAACCAGGAAGAGAAGTCTTTTAGGTCTCACTCTGTCACCCAGGCTGGAGTGCAGTGGTAGGATCATAGCTCACTGTGACCTTGAACTCCTGGGTTTAAAGCGATCCTCCCACTTCAACCTCCGGAGTAACTGGGACTACAGGTGTGCACCACCACGCCCAGCTAAACTTCCATTCTATTCTATGGGGCAGTCAGCCCCTTCAGCCCCAGCCTTTCACAGAACCTCCTCAGGTCTAAGTGAAGGAAGCAAAGACTCCCCTCAACCCCACCTCAGTGGAAGAGGTGTCAAAGAATTTGCAGCCATCTGTAATACGCTGCATGGGGCTGGGGAGATCAGAGTCAAGTGCCCATGCCCTGGGACAGCACTGACCACCTTCACCACCATGTCCTTGATCACATGACCACCTCTGACTGCTCCTTCTCCTGGATCCTGCTCTCAGGACTCAAGTTCAGTCTTTGGCCTTCTGGCCTTTTCTCTCTGTACAAACTGCCCCATAGGGAGAGTACTGTCTTAGTCCATTTGTGTTGCTACAAAGGAATACACAAGGCTGGGTAATTTACGAAGATAAGAGGTTTATTTGGCTCATGGTTCTGCAGGCTGTAAAAGAAGCATGAAGCCCAGCATCTGCAACTGATGAGGGCCTCAGGCTGCATCCCCTTCTGGCGGAAGGCAAAGGGGAGCCAGCAAGTGCGGAAATCACAGGGTGAGAGAGAAAGCAAGACAATAGCAGAGGAGGGGTGGTGCTAGGTTCTTTCCAACAACCAGCTGTTGAGAGAACTAAGAGAGGAAGAGCTCACTGCGCACCCAGGGAGGGCATGAATCTGTCTGAATGGCAGATTACCCCTTCTAAGGTCACTTCCAGCTCTAGAATGCTTTGCTTCCTCCAGTCACCCAGGCCCAGAGCATTGGACCTAACTCTGTTTCATCCCTGTACTCACCCTGATTGTTCTAGATAATCCTCCCATCCAGTATCCCCCTCCATTCCACCGTTCCTTTTTCATCATGTGACTCCCTTGCTCCGAAATTGGTGCCTCTAGACTTGGTTGGCCCTTAGAGAACAGAATCCTTGGTCTTTTGCTGGTGGTGTGGCACCTTCGTTCCACTGCCTGGTCCTCCTTACCTCTCCAGACCTCTCTCTGCCCATTTCACCCATGACCTCAGAACTCTATTCCAGTGGGGCTCTGAATCCACTCCTGCCCACATCTTACCCATGCCACCATTCCT